ATAAGATAATCTTTCGCTGATCCCTCGTTGATCAGCGTCGGATCAGTGACGAATTATCTTATTTTTCCTATTTCTCATTCTTTATGTGTTATATGTACACATGTGAGTGACAAATTAGCAACGGATTGACAATTCCCTCGCTGATCTGTGAGGGATCCGTGAGGGAATTGGCCAAAAACAAATCCCTCGCTGATTTACGAGGGAACTGGTTTTTGGCCAAATCCATCGCTGATCTACGAGGGATCAACGAGAGAATTCGTTTTTGGCCAATTCCTATGCCCCAATGCGAGTCCTCACGTATGCTTCTCTCCGCCCGAAACCCAAGAAGTTGGCTTTGCCAACACAACATTAGGGTCGTCTCCTTCATTCTATACTGACCCCTGCCCAGGCTCGCTTTTTGGGAAGCCCGTCCCCATCGTATTCACGACCCGACTAGCCTGCCAGTGGTAGTGGGAATTATTTCGTTCCTTGGTCAAATATTCTATGCTAACCTCGGCCCGGGTTGGCTTTTTGGGAAGCCTGTCCCCACCGTGCTCACGACCCGGTTGGCCTACCAGCAATATTGGAAACGATCCCTCGCTGAACTACGAGGTATCAACTAGAGAATGGCCAAAAACTAGTTCCCTAATTGATCTCTCGCTGATCTGCAAGAGATCAGCGAGGGAATGGCCAAAAACCAGTTCCCTCGCATATCAGCAAGGGATTTTTTCCGTCACTAATGCCCAATTTTCTAGTAGTGTGAATCATATGTATATGTAACATATCGTATGTTAAACATAACTAATCAATGTATTCAAAACGTCCATCAGAAAAAAAAAATGGTGAAAAAACCAATGAATTGATTCTTGATATCACATTGATATTTGATGAAAATTGTGAAAAAATCATATCTAAAGTTAAAAATAGTGAAAAATATATAAAACTTGATAAAAAATTATGAATCAATTAAGATTAAAAAATAAATAAATCTAAATGATATAATAAGATTTTGAAGAGATTCAAATAGTGTTTTTTACTACAATTATATCTCTAAGAGAGTATTTGACTAAATTCAAAATGATAATTATCCTAATTTTTCTAAAATATTTCCCATTTTTTGTTTATGGTATTTTTTTTAGGATTATGTAGTTTAGATTGATTCTCGTCTTCTCGCAAATTGATCGCCTTTTCGTTTGAACATGACCCTACACACACACGTGTGTGTGTATAACATATACTTGGGATCAAGAAAGAAAAACAAATTAGTGACAAACATGATAAGAGGTAAAGGTATCCTTATAGTTTGTGAATGCTACTTCATATTTTATGAAAGTGGTTATGGCAACAAAATCTAAATGTGTACCTTCATAGTTTCTGCAAAGACGGTCACATTCATATGCTTTCACATAATATAAGGATACGCTTATATATTTTAGGTGAAGGTTAACTCATACAATGTGATATAACATTTTTTACACTTACGAAAAATGATACTTTACGAGATTAACTCCATGCCACCTCTCTCTCTCTCTCTCTCTCTCTCTATATATATATATATATATATATATCTATATAGGGGCTGGTTCAAATAGAAACCAACCATATGGTACAAACTATGTGAACCGATCTTGATCGTTCATTTTATCATCAAACGTTTATTATTAAATGAGATTAAATAAACAATAATTTAATTAATGTATTAATTGATATGTGTATGAACAATTGTTCAAAGAGTAAATTGGTCAAACAGTCATTATTAAATGAGTATTAAAAAATAATCAATTAATCATTAAATTAATTGGGTTGCTTATGAACAATTGTTCACAGGGTATTTTGGTAATAAAT